CCCAACACAATTAGCTCTACATTTTTATTAACCAGACCATTACGGTCAGTTGTCAGTGATAACTGTCTGGGTAGGGCCTGTACAGGTTATTAGTTTAATTTGTATTTGTCTGCATGAACGTTCCTCCTGAAGAGAAGGGCCAAGGAATAACTCGGCCTCTTTCCAGGGAGGCCAGCTTTGAAGAGGTGTGGCAGGAGTGCTGGTTTTATGGAGGGTCATTTTGGAAAGAAGGACAAAGAATCCCAGCAAAACCCTTGTGCTTGCTACCCTGAATCTTTTCTTGTCTCTTTCCTGCCATATCAAACTCTGGGGATAAGCAGAGACCTTGTTTATCCAAAAAGCCTACTGACAGGTCTTGTGGTAAACGAACCTGAATCTATGATCATTGTGTGGGTGATTTTTAGCACCAGTTCTGCAGACCATTTCTGGGAGGGCAGCAGGGCAAGTATTAGGCCAATGTGTGTTTTTTTTAATTAGGGATAAGCAGAACTCTGAGCCAGCTGTCTCTACAACTGCAGTGGTCAACCCCATTGCTAAACAAATTGCTAGTAGTTCTCAGTGCTAAGCTTTGATGCTTGATTTGGACAGATGAGAATTCAGGGGCAAAGCAAACAGAAAACAGAAGCATACCTTATGTCTGAACACAAGGCAGGAGGTCCCTGCTTCATTTCTAGCAAGTGACCTATAAAAGGATGTGTGTGTCCCATGCTCCCTTGCAGAAATGGCAGCCTCTCATCCAGTGCAGCTGGATCCTTAGACCTGTTGCTGCCTGGGGCAATGGAGTGCCAGTGGGCAAGGCCTTCAAAACTTTCTCCAGCAGCCAAGATACCAGTGCAGGGACAGAATGTCTGGGGTCATGTTGTTCCTCTCTTCCTGTCATCTCCCAATGTCATACCACCTACTTCCAGAGGAGTTAGTATTGGAAAGATGCCAGAGGTGAGTGACAGAGCACTGGAACAGGCTGCCCAGAGAGGCTGTGGAGTCTCCTTCACTGGAGACATTCAAAACCCACCCGGACGTGTTCCTGGGTGACGTGCTCTAGGTGATCCTGCTCTGGCAGGGGGGTTGATCTGGATGATCTTTCGAGGTCCCTTCCAGCCTCTAAGATTCTGTGATTCTGTGTGATTTTGTGTGTGATTTGCACTTCTCATAGCTGTCATTCCAGGCCTTCACTTGTCTCTAGATCAGTCACTGATGGTTTTATCTGTAAATTAAGTAGTATTACCAAAAAGGAAAAGAAGAAAGAAGTAGATTACATGACGTGACTCTACAAACTGAGGCTCATGCCTCAATCTCCCTATGACAACAAAAACAGTTTGCATTTAAACTCAGACCTTCTGTGAGCTCAGTCCTTCATCCTGTGAGTACGGGGCCAGCAAGGCACAGTGGTGATGAGCAAGTGGTATCTGTCTGGGAATAAGGATGCAGACAGTAAAACTCATCCTTCAGATCTGCTAATGTGCTCATGCTCACCACAGTAGCGATGTAGTTAGTCCTCTGTTAATTCAGAACTGATTTTACCAGGACTCCCAGACCTGCATTTCACCTTTTTTTGGCTTTTCCGTATGTGCACACACACATAAACACTACAGTCTGCACCTGCACCCTGGCCTGTGAAATGCCAACCGCGTAGAGTTTAGCTCATAGTTCAGCCAAAACATCAGTTAAGGTAATTTGAGTTCATCCTTGTTTTTTTTTAAATCACATCATCCACCATCATCTTTGCACTGTCTCCCCTATCTCCTGGCAGTCACTCACTGGAACCAAGTAATCTAAAATTTGCTGATAGCACATTAGTGAAGGTCCAGGTGCAGAGGAAGAGTGGGGGTTACCAGGAAATATAAACACTAGACTAGGGAAGGGAAATTACCATACATACTTGCTTTGTTGAAGCCTGTTGAGATACCACTTAGCTATGTGTGTATGTATGTATTTACATGTATGCTTGTTGTTACCAGCTCCGGAAGGAGTAAATCCTCCTGCTACTTGTTTTTAATACCTTGTCTAAACATTTAAAATTAGACTTTCTTACCTTTCAAACTAAGAGTTGTTTTTTTTCTTGGATAGTTTTCATTTCAGTGGTTGCTGACACCTGAAAAACTCAGATATCAGAAAGGAAGACACTTTGGAATTCAGAGTGCTCTTTAAAAACACTTAACAAATCCAGCCTCCACTAACTTCTATGGAAGCAGATGTTTCTCATTAGCTCCTATGATCAAGCCAGCATTTTCTGCATTTAAGAATTAGCTTTTCTTTCATTTTTCTGAATGATTTCTCCTTTCCTTGAGAGTATTTCCTAAAGTGACTTAGGAGGGGAGGAGCATTAGTAACACTTTGAAGCGAGGGATGATGCTTGACGTTACCAGGGCACTGTTGGGCAGAAAGACTCATAGCTGGAACACTATTTGCTGTGACGAGCTTGCCCTAAAGGCCATCAAAAGTGGGTCTGCAAGGGAAGGGCACCTCCAGGCTCCTGCTTGTGTGGCTGGCACTCTAGGAGGAGGCATGACCATGTTAGCCATGCCCAGAGGGGGGCCTTCTGTTGAAATCAAGGGCATAGCAGGGCAGAAAAAATCTAATTCAGTGTCAGAAGTTCCTCCAACAGTCATTACAGACTAATCAGTGTAGGAACTAGGGTCACAGAAAGCCGCCAGAAGTCAATTAACAAAAAAATAACCTCTCCTGTTTGTATGTCTTTCAGATCGAAATGCTAGAGCACAAATATGGAGGTCACCTGGTGTCTCGCAGGGCAGCCTGCACCATCCAGACTGCGTTCCGGCAGTACCAGCTCAGCAAGAACTTTGAGAAGATCCGCAACTCCCTGCTGGAGAGCCGCATGCCACGCCGCATCTCTCTGAGGAAAGTCCGGGTCCAGAACTCAGAGAGCTTCTCTGCTGAGAAAGCCCTGGTGGAGGGCTACAACTTTGTGGGCATCCCCCTAGTGAGGTCTCCGTCTTTGCCAGCTACCATCAGTGGGGCATTGACTGAGCTGGAGGACTCCTTCACAGAACAAGTTCAGTCCCTGGCCAAGTCTATTGATGATGCCCTCAGCACCTGGAGCCTAAAGACCATGTGCTCACTGCAAGATGGAGGCTCATACCAGATAAGAGAGACTTTCAGTGCCAGCTCAATGCAGCCAAACCAAGACTTAGAAACTGAGCTGCAGGACAAGGAGAAGGAGGAAGGGCTTCTACCAGATACCCTACCCAAGAGCAGCAGCACTCTCATGATGGCTTTTCGAGATGTCACAGTCCAGATCGACAACAAGAACATCTCTGTCTCATCGTCTACCTCGGTGTCTATGGCAAACTGCCTCAGCAGCAGTGCCCAGGCCGAGCTCTCTCAAGCTATCAAGGCTGAAGAAAGCCCAGGAGAAGGGGAGGGAGAAACCAGTGGACCACTGGCTGCCCCAGAGAGCTTACCTGAGGCCAGAGCTCTCCAGAACAGCCACACTTTCACCGAGGTGAATGTCAGTACTAATGGCACAGGAGACATCAATGCTGAGCCTGGAGAGATGGCAGTGCAGAAGCTCCAGTTTGATGCTAGCAATGAGATGGGGCAAAGCAAAGGCTCTGAATCAGAGAATGCAGACAACTCAGAGCAGCTGAGCAGCAGCAGCACCTCCACTTCAGCCAAGTCAGCCTCTGAGGTGTCCTCAAAAGAAGCATTGCAGGCTATGATCCTCAGCCTCCCAAGGTACCACTGCGAGAACCCAGCTAGCTGCAAGTCCCCCACACTTTCCACTGACACCATGAGGAAGCGCCTCTATCGCATTGGGCTGAACCTCTTTAATATGTAAGTGACTCTTCCTCCTTCATGTTTCCCAGCCTGTTTCATGCCTCACAGGATCGGGGGGTGGCAGGCTCTTCTTGGTCTAGATCCATCTCCAGGGAAGTTCTTTCATATTCAAGGGCATGACCCCTTGGATTTGCAATGCAGACCACAGGTTAGATGCCCATAAGCTTTCTCCCTGAGGTCCCCCAACTGCTGTCCTGATCTACTGCCCAAAAGACAAACAAGCCCAGTGCCCCATGAGTAGTGCCCACACTCTCCTGGATTCTCAACCTTCAGTCTCAGTTCCTGTCCATTTGGCATTTGCCAGCTGAGCCTGGGATCTAGGCTCCTGCTCCACGCTGTTGCAAGGGAGCAAGCATAGCTGGGGATGTAAACCCAGCCCTGGTTACTTAACATGGAGCACGTCCAACTAAAGAGAGAGAGACAGAAGTAGAGCTGAGCTTAGCTAGCCTAGTATGAGTGCTCTGGGTGTCATTTTCCTTCTGTTATTTGGGTAGGTTTTCACCTGATGACAGACTGTGTTTAGTCATCTCATTCTGATATCCTATGAAAAGGCTGTAGGTGTGAAAGCAAAAGCAGAGAAGCCCAGAGATTACCATCAGAAGAGGTTGAGGGGTCACATATAGTCTATTTTGGATTGCCAAAAAGCAGCTGAGCTTCTACAAGGAGCTTTAGATTTGCTTGTTGCCTTTCAATGATATTTTTCTCCTCAAAGCAAGCCATGAGAATTATTGGGGTTTGCTCCATCATCACACTCTCATCTTGTGCTGTTTTGGTTTCCATTTGAGTCCCCAGATTAAGTTGCTGGGGGTTTATTGTACCCATACGAGAAGAATATTTTGCCACACATTTTTGTGGGCCTTTTGGTCAGAGCAAGGACTAAAGGTTACACAGTCCTAGGCAGAAGGTTTGCACAGACAAGGGGGCAATGCACAGAATTTATGTATGTGTAGTATGGAGGCTGTGGTCTCCAGGAGGAGGAAGAGAGGTTTTTAGGGCTGGGTTCAGAGCACATTCACAACTGAAGTGATGTTAGAGCAGACAGATTTGTGACTCTTACAGAACAGAGGAGGACATTTTACTACCTCTGAGATCACATTGTGAACAGGTGGGTCTATGTATATATATCAAAGTCAAGCTCTGGGCACACAGATTTGCCTGATGAACACAAGCAGGCTGGAAGGAGAGAACAGAGGCACCAGACACAGGCGGTGTTGGTTATGATGGAGATAGTTCCAGGTCCACGCATGTTCTGGTGTTTGTGTTAGTATAGGTGTACTTCTGGAAGGGGGATGTGGGGCTCACATCTCTGCTACTAAAAGTTTCAGTATTCTCAGCGGTGCTTGGCAGATCTTCCTCCACCCAGTGTGCTTTCTTTTGGTTCCTGCACATTTGACACGAACACCAATGTGAAGATAAAGCAGGAGTGAAAATGCTTTTTCCCAGCCTCTCCTCATCCCCCAGTCTGCCTCGCACACATTCATGTGACAGATTAGCAGCACCAGGTCTGTTTTGGGGAAGCAGCTCTGCTGTCCTCCTTCATTCAGTGACCTAAGTTGTATGCATCTTGCAGGTCCCTGTGGGATAGAAGACTTACTGTGGCACTCCAAAACACAGCTTCCTAGCCAGGCCTCCTCTGCTCCCTGGAAACTAGCTACTGAAATGATGTGTGAAAACCTGTAAGGTTTGGTTCTCTTGACAAAAGTTTGGAGGACAGGAAGGGATGGAACTGACCTGTTAACTCTCGGGAGTGAACCCTGTGTTTTATTCTCTGAGTGTGATCTAAGTGACATGTCACTTAGACACTGTACCGTACCTCCATCCAAGGGGCTGGGGAGGCCATTCAGCTTCCTGCAGTTATTTGGTTGCTGGTTTACCTGGCAATTTCTAACAAGAAGCCAGTTTACCACTGTAGGGTTTGCAACGTGGGCACCAACCCTCAGGGCATGGAGCCGGAGCTGTCTGTGTGCGCACACACATCCTTTTTGCTGATCCCTTCCCTGGGCCAGGAGCTGAAAGCTTCCAGTTGCTAGCAGCATCTGCCATAGCCTATCTGGCATTGCATTTCCAGAAAGGAGTGCTCTGACTCAGAGCAGGCCCCTGGGAACACATCAGTGCTGTGCTGCGGCGGCACCGTCCCCCTCCCCACTCCACAGTGAGGGGGTGGAATCCCTGGAACGGAGAGTGCTTCATTATGCAGCACTGCTGTAATAACTCAGTGTGTGTGGGCAGCTGGCTGCGTGGGCAGAGGGAAAGCCAGCAGGACAAGAGGAATCCCGCAGCATTTGCTGGCTGTGCTTAAAACTCCTGCAACACTAAAGAAAATAGCAGGGACCAGGCTCAGGAGAGATGGAAGTGGAGGTGTCTGCAGCACATCTGGGTACAAGCCGCATGCTGCAGTATATGGGATACTTCTGCAGATGTTCAGTGACAGAGATGCTGTATTGCTATCAGGATTTTGCCGGGAACAGAATGAATGCCAGGAAAAACTGATGAAGGGCTGCTGTTATTTGAAGAACAATATGTGCAAGTATATTTGAGATATAGTCTAGGCAGTGCAGGAGAGCTGTCACAGCTAGACTGTTTTATTCTACATCCTTTTGCATTGTGTAAGCCATCTCTACTGAAATCTGCACATCTGCCACTGTGTGAGCTGATTTTTCAGACCTTATTCAGCTCCAGTCCAGTGGCTTTGGAGTCACACCAGTGTAGCTGAGATAATCTTCGTGCTGTGAACATCATGCTGTCCCCTGCCAAATGCCAAAATGTGCAGGTGGAGGTGGATTTTGGGTATCTCAGTAGCTTAGCTTGACTTTAGCCCTGACCATATGACCTTTGCACTTAGCAGACAATTTTGCTTGTGCTCTTCAAAGGTGAATCAGGAAATCTGTGTGATAATACAGTAGGTGCACTTTTTCTTTTCTCTGAAGAAGGCCTGGGAATTTCAATATCAGATCTTGCAGCTGTCCTGTTTGTAAATTTAATGGGCTAACTTGTACTCCCAGCCACTCTCCCAAAGGATGCTTCATGGCCCAGGATATTTTATTTGTGACATTACAGAATAAACTGAACTATTTCAGGCCTGCCTACTTTTTGTATACCCATGAGGCCTGTGTAAGGAGCAGGCCATTATCCTGAATGCTGATCCCCTTATAGCTAGACATATGTTGCTCACCCACATCCTTCACCACCTGACAGTGTCACAGTCTGTGCCTGTGCATATCATGCATTCACGTGCTCTGAGTTCTCATCCTATCCTTTCATCACCCCAGGAACTGCCAGAGCAAACTCCTTGAGCCTTGACAAAGATCCCTGCATTTGGGTTAATGATAGAAGTATGGCATCCTTTCATGAAGAAGCTGCCCTCCTACCTCTTCCCACTCACGGGCTCAGAGAACCAAAGGAATGTGGAAACACTTATTCCCCTCAGCAAGAGTACACCATGACAGACACCCTTCAGTGGGGCATACTGAAATAGAGGAAGAAAACCTCCTGCACAGAACACACATACACACTCGTTCCTGTCTGTACTGTGGGGCAGGCCCCACATAGGCTCTCAGCCACTCCCAGGGTACAAAGAAGCATGTGTACTTACAGGAGACATGAGGAGAAAGCCAAACTATGCAGACACAGGGGCTGTGATGAACATATATGGTGCAAGAGAAATCTGCGTGTACAGGATGTAGACACACACAAATGCGTGTGCTTTTTGAGACACATGCTGCCCCCAAAGAACTGCATATGTGGTCACAGACACTGGCACACCAACAAGCAGAAAATCACTCCCACAGCTAAGCAGCTGGGCCCACCCAGCACCAGGCCTGTTCTCAGAGTCACTCACAGGCTCAGAGGGAGAAAAACCCACTGTCTGGGAGCTGCATGCAGTGCTCTCCCAGCTCTGACAAGGCATTCTCCAGGTGCCTGCTCTCATCCACCCACACACAGAGATTTCTGCCTGAGGGGAAAATCAGTAGAGAAGGGAATAACAACACAGCTGAGGGTGGTGGAAGTGGAGGAAAAGACAAGCAAATCTGAGCATGGGATTTCTGTTCAGGTGGCCAATGCCAGACTCAGGTGAGGAAGGCATCAAGTGTCACTCAACACTGAGCACTAAAAAATGTATGAAAAAGAGAATTACTTTTAAGGAAAAAGTGCTCACCTTTGGCCGTCCCCCTTTGTGTCTGGAGTCTCAGTCTCTTCACAGCCATGTTTTACCCTTTGCCCTTTTCTGCCGTACAGAAGGTGCAACCCCAGCTCCCCTAAAGCAAAGGGTCACATGCCCATCTCTCACCCATCTCTCACAAGCTGTCCTTGGGGACAGCTCTTTCTGGGTTGCATTTGGAGCTGCTGACTGTATTCGTTTTTTTTCTCTTTCATTGCCTGTTCTGTCTGTCTGGGACACAGTTAAAATTGTCCTCACAGGGATTCTACACAAATCAAGCTGGGGCAGGGAGAATACAAGAAACTTTGACTCTGGAGCAGACAGATGGCAGAAGAGTCACCAATAAGGCTGGTATCATGCAGCAGAATCCTTTGTGGCAGTGGCATGGCACTTGTGATGGCCAGGTTACACAGTAGGTGCTGCAAGTGACCCAGCAGGTCCCATGGCATCCTTTTGTCCTCAGCAGCAACTGGGGAAGATTCCCCCAAGTCACTTTTCCTTGCCCCCACCAATCCCATCCCTGCCACACACATTAACTCATAGGTACCCATGCATACACTGAGAGCTGCATTGCTGCAAGCCATCAGGTGAACCAGGGGCAATAATGCCTCAAAGGGAACATGTAAACTCACTGTGTCTCTGTCCTTTCCTTTCAGAAACCCAGACAAAGGGATCCAGTTCCTGATCTCCCGAGGCTTCATCCCAGACACCCCCATTGGTGTGGCACACTTCCTGCTCCAGCGGAAAGGTCTCAGCCGCCAAATGATTGGGGAGTTCCTGGGCAACAGCAAGAAACAGTTCAACAGGGATGTCCTTGAGTAAGTATGGAAACCTCTTCCCTTCCTCCCTGCACTACAAAGGAATTGCCAGCCCACTCTGTTCCTGGCTGCACCAGCAGGAACCCCGTCCTCTATGCCTCTCCATCCCTACTCTGCAGGAACTTCACTGTTCCCAGTCCCTATCCAGCACCTCTCGATGCATTCCCCAGCAGTGTGTTTCCCTCTTAATATGAGCAGCCTTTTCATTTCTGTCTCTCCTCAGAGGGCCTGCAATAATCTAGAAGAGGCTCAGCACTGTCAAGTGGTAGGACTAGTGATTCTTGGAGGTTTGGTGGCTGGGAAACTGGCTGGGGTCTCACCCCATCCAGATAAAGCACCTCTGATGATTTCTGGGAAGTACTAAGAGAGACAGAGGAGGAAAAATATCTACTCCTTAGTGTGAGAGTAGCAGGGAATAGTGAATGCTGGCTCCACCCCTGGTTCTATTTCTGCCCAGTTTTGAATTGGGTGGCCTTTTAAATTTCTCTAACTGCACTATGGGGGTAATAAGAGGGGAGTTGGTTCTGTTTGTCATGCTGAAGAGGCCTGCATGAGGGACCATGCTACTAAGGATGTATCATTACCATTGCAGTCACTGAGCACTGAAGAACTTCCCCACTCCAAAAACTCCAGTGGGCTGAACTGTCCCTTTTCTGAACAAGATCTCACATTTCCTCCCTGCCTTTGCTGGATTGTTCCCTTCAGTTCTCTCACCGTTACACCCTCCTGGTCACACAAGCCATGCATCTCTCAGTCTACACCTCTCTCCTCTTTCAAGACTTGCAATTTGGGCTGGAAAATCCTGTGATTACCTGAGAAATATACTACCTCAGTTCCTGCCTGTTGCTCTGCCTTCTGCACTGCAACCATTGCTAACTTGTCATCCCCAAGCATTGCAGGAGTAGGGTCTGAAGTGCTGAGAAGAAAAGTATTTTGCCTGTTGCTCTAAGATGATAGGCTCTCCCAAGTCCAACCATCATCCCTACTCTACAAAGTTCTCCTGAAGATGTGCCTTTGTTTCCTCCTTGGTTCTGATCTACTTCAGATAAGGGAAAATGAGAAAGCACAGTACTCTATAATGATGAAAAAGGCACATCAGAAACAGGGGACACCAGCTCTCCCACTCTGAGAACTGTTACAGTGAAAGCAGGACAAGTTTGCACCAGAATGTGAATGTGAGGGCTACCATGCAGGGTCATGTGACCTGTGTCATCAGGGCCCAACAAGTTCATTCACAGACTCATTTCAAGAGATGACCAGCACTCAGCTGGGTGTTTCTTTTATTAGGCAGAAGCACAGTTCTTAGTGAAAGCTGCCTTTCCTTTAGGTAGGAAGTCCTTTGGACTGGATCCTCTATTATATTGTCCCATTCTCCAAAATATTCTCCATCTTCCCTTGGATTTTGGCAGTGATTTCTCTTTAACTAAGCCCAATGGAAACCCTAAATCCAATACACACACCACTTGAACTCCAGGGAAGGACAGGAGGATGCCAGTTCAAGAGCCAAATCTGGGCCCAAATTTC